ATATATATATATATAACCACAAATTTAATCAAATAAATTAAAGCATAAAAATAAATTAACATGATATATAGAAAAAATAGAAATATAAGTATGAAATTACCTCCAAAATACAGCCCCATTGTTACCAAAATAAGCAACCTTGAAAATGAAAAATTAAACATTAGTTAAAGCACCAAAAACATATATAGAAGATGACAGAAAATAAAGAGAAATTTACATAATCAAATAATAAAAGAAAATGAAAGTAAAAGAAAAGATGATAAAGAAAGGAATTAGTTATATTAGCTTTGGAAAAAAAATGTGAAGAATATAAAATAAACTTGAAAATAAAATACTAAAAAGAAGAAATAAGAGTAGAGATGAAGAAGAAGAAGAGAAAGAAAAATGAAGACATGAAGTACTAAAAATTGAAAGAAAATTGCTAAAAGTTAGAGAAATAAAAGGGAAAGAAAGGTGTTGAGAGTTGGAGAAGAAAGAAATGAAAGAGAAGTAATGAAAAGAGTCTGAGTTAATGTATATAAAGGTAGAGAACTATTTCGAGCAGTAAAATTGACTGAAATAAAAAGGTGGAAATTTCAAACATTTTTAGTGAAAATATTCAAATGGTAAGGTGGGCAGTGAAAGAATGCTGAAATTAGCTCAGTCAAAAATTATGTCCAAATTACATTTAGTGGAAAATTCAAAATTTTCACCAATTTTTGAAGGCAATGATCAAGGGTGTGGTTTTTTTTTTTTTCCCCAAAAGTCTTATTTCAGTCATAGGTAATGACTGAAGTAATTATAATTATATTTTGGTCAACTTTTTTGACCGAATTCATATAAGGAATTTTTTTTTTTTGAAAGCCAATTTTTTTGTAGAAATCAATGGCCGGTGTAATAAGACCAGTTATTGGTCAAATATTTTGACCAAGTTTATGTGTATTTCGGTCATAATATTTGACTGAATTCTAATATAATAAAATATTATCATATTTCGGTCAGTCACTAAGTTTCCTATTTTTTTGCTTTTTGTATTTCCTTTACGTTTCCTATTTTTCACTTTCTACTAATTAAAATATTTCTAACTATATATTAAAACATCTAATTGAAAAGTTTACCTAGAAACATATAAATATAAAACTTGATCTAATTTCATAATTAAGTATCATGTCCTAAAATACTAATTAAAATACTATGTCCTAGTCTTACATGTCTAGATTGTCATACATATCCATGCATATATAATAGTAAAAGATTTTTTTGATACAAAGATCAACTTAAGACAAAGCCAGTTATGCTCCCCTGCTTGTCCTAGTCCCTCCTCCTCGCATCATAAAAAACATCCTCTCCATCCTGTCAACTTTCTCTTGTAGTTCTATCAAAGTCTGTTGCAACTACACTACTCGTTGAGAGAACTGAATAGAACTATCAAGTATGGTATGTAAAGGACATTTATGGTGTGAGACCCCTTCCTTAGTAGGGTCCATGTAAATGGGCTTTCCATAAAATCGCTCATCCTTGAAAGGTCCACCCAAAACTTGGGACAAAAGTTGGGTATCAACTACTATTGGCCATGTAGTTTTGTTCTCCCATATTTTTGAATGGCTTCTATAGTTAATCGTTCCTATCATAAATTATATATAGCATATTTATCATATCATTTAATAAAGTATAAAAACATTATATACTTAACTATATACTTGCAATCATGATACTCAATATAATTATAAATACCATAATAAAATTACTTAAATTTTCACAATTCATTATAAATTAATAAAAAATTCAATAGAGTTTTTCTTAAAAATTGTACTTTCACCCTGTAAACAATATAAAAAAATACATTCACCCATATATATATATATATATATATCCATCTATGATATTCAATAAAATTAATAGTCAATCTGATTTCATTTAAATGAATAAAAAGTTCAAACTTATCACAAATCCAAATAATACTTCCGAGCACATTAATCAACATGTATAAAGTTAACTTCTTTGAGCCCTTTTATCAACATGTTCAACTCTAAAGGAAGCAAATGCATAATCAAAAAAATATTTTCAAATATAGAAAGCACCATTTTTTCTATGCAATTTTTAATTACTCTACTTAATCTTGGTTAGGGACTCAACATAATTATAAATACCATAATAAAATTACTTAAAATTTTGCAATTCATTATAAATTTATAAAAAATTTGACAGAGTTTCCCCTAAAAACTGAACTTTTCCCTTGTAAACAAAGTATAAACATTCAACCATATATATATATATATTTCCAACTATGATATTTAATAAAATTAAAATACAATCTGATTTCAATATAACTAAATAAATAGAGGAGAATTCAATTGGTCCTAGTTAGGTAATTAATAAAGTATCCTTAATTTTAATTGATTTTTTAATATGAATAAAATGAGAGAAAATTTCACTTCAATCCATCCTCTCAAGAAATAATAATAGTAAAGAAAGAATACTTACGGTATACTCCTGAACCTGCTCATCAATATATGTTGGCATTTTATCTTTTTTTCTTTGGATGATGCATTTTTTTTGCACGGATCACATCAACGAATGATGGATCCCTATGTTCAGGATCTTTTTCCTTCTACAATATCACATATTCAATTATTGTGTTAATTCACATAAACATTATAATTATTATATAAATTATGATATGAAATCTAAAACATAAAAGTAAAATTTTTACCAATTTTTGCACAAAATCATTGTAATCCATAAATCCACCTATGTGGGTTACCTTGGGGCCCTTGGCTCGATTTTGCTTTGCTTGCTTTCTACATGCATTGAACTGTGGGTCCTTCATCCATATGTACTTTAGCTTCTCCCAAACCTCATCTAATATGTATGGCTTTTTTTTTTTTTTTGGTAAAGTTTTTCATTCTACATCAAGTTTGGATATTAGCCATCATTCAGCTATATCGTTGTTTACAAATGTGTAGAAATGTTGTATGTATAGCGTTTTCCTCAATAGGGTCCCATTCATACTTATTCTGAAATATATATATATATATAGGCATCATATATTCATATATTAATTGATTCATATAAGAATATACACATATATAAATAAAAACATGTCATTATAAATTATTCAATAAAACTACAAACCCAAAAAGCCTACCAGTACACTTCCTTGTGCTCACGAGAAATTGAACCCCACCCTGTATATGCATCATGCATATTTGACTTAAGGATGATTGAAATTTCCTTTTAAACTTGCTTTGGTAATATTTTCCCATCCCAGTTCCCAATGCTCAGCCTTCGAGAAGGATCCTCTAGTATTTTTTGAGGTTTTGCAATTCCTCGTCCCCTTTTAGATTGAGGAGATGAGGATGCACAAGAGTTAGTATCATTGCTATTACCACC